ATATATACACTACGTTTCAAAATTACGGTTTGAGGCGATTGTTAATGATTCTGTATCATGGGTGGTACTTGTCAGATAAATGAAAGGAAACCTCGTTTTTAACTTAATGTATGACAAATTTTGGCTTGACGGCGACTTCTCTGTTCGAAATCTGGACGCAAGCGTGGAGTTCCGCCAATGCCAGTCGCTTTCACAAAGGATTTTCTTCTTTTCTTGACAGAATGACTCTCCTTTTGCCTTCTTTGAGCCTGTTTTTTTTCTTCTTTTTACGTTTTTTTTACCAAGGACTCTCTTCCACTTTTGATTTTTCCATGAGCAATGAGCTTCCCGTGTGAATTTTTTCAAGTGCTCGATGTAAACAAAATAGGCAAAAAACATGAAAAACGAGGCCCAAGATGAGCGGTTGCCGCGAAAATTCCCCCAGGAGATTCGCTCACGAAATTAAGTAAGTAAGTAAGTAGATCTTTATTTCCATAGCGTGCGCAATTACAGTCAAGACTGTATTCTCCCTTTTGGCCCCATGAAACTGGATTACAATAATTCCAATTACAGACAATTAAAATACTAAAATAAAAAGATACCAGGAGCTTTATAAAACTTAAGATCACATAGGACTTAAAATCACATGAATAAAAACTAGAATATTCTGTCTGTTTTAAACTAGCAGGTGTGAATTTACTTATAATGCAGTCAAAGTAGTTTCTTCCAAACTTCTTTAGATCGACAACAAAGTCATTATCGCCAATATTCTTCCAAAATTGAAGAGCATTAAAAAAGAACATCTGCTTCCTGTTGTTGGTTCGTGGAATGAGGAGGTGATAAGGCATCCGAGATCTTGTAACATGAGACTCGCAGAATTTCAATCATAACAGTGTCTCAGTGAGGTAGTCAGGAGCACGTCCATCCAAGATTCTTTTAAACAGAATTAAACGTCCTTCAATACAGATGTGATTAATAGGTAGCCATCCAAGTTTATAAAATAACGGTAAGGTTCTAGCTTGGAAGGGAGCATCGAGGATAAGAAGCGCACATCGCTTTTGAACTTTAAAAATTTCATCCAATAGTCCTGCATTACAGCTTGCCTAAACTGATACACAGTACACAAGAATGGGTTTGATACTAGCATTTAATAGAACTATGCGATATTTAATTGGCAGGAATTTTTTAATGCGGGCCAGAACAGCAACGCGCTTTAAAAGTTTCTTCCTCAGATTTGTTTCTTCCGAGTGGGCTACCATACCATGATCTTTAGTCCATGTCTCCGTTCTATCAATTTCTCGCTGGAGTTGTAGCTGAACGTCAGTTTAAGTTGTGGTACTGGCATAGAAAGTGGCATCATCAGCAAATAAGCCACTCTTACTTTCCAAGGAGAGCGGTAGGTCATTGATAAACAGGAAGAAAATGCAGGACCCAAGAGCGAACCCTGGAGAATACCAAAAGCCAATACTTCGGTATCAGGTACGGTGCCTTTAAGATCCACACACCGACGACAGTCGGTTAGGTAGCTCTTAAAATAAAGTAGAGATGAAGGAGAGCAGCCATGAATTTGCAGTTTGGCAATTATCAGGTTACGATTCACCACATTAAAGGCTTTGGGTAGGTCCAGGAAGATCGCACCGGTATATAGGCCTTGGTCTATCGCATCCAACCAATCATCAGTCATTTTAATCAAGATAGATTCAGTTGAGCGCTAAGGTTGGAATCCAGATTGCGTCGAGACAATTAGATTAAATGAAGAAGGTATAGCATTAACTGAGTACATGTATCTTTCAAGTAGCTTTGAAATAATTGCAAGAACCGAAATCGGACGAAAATTATTCGGATCAGAGGCTGGTCCAGATTTGTGAACTGGTGTAACTCGTGCTAGTTTAAGTGCAGAAGGGCAGATACCAGATTGGATACTACAATTTAGAACCTTGGAATGATGATCGAGAATAGTTTAAACGTTTGTTTATCAATCATCTAGTGTAGACTAAAGTTTGCCATCAAATATTTTAAACGTCTTGAATTAGGGTTATCTCGTCGTAGTGGATCAATATTAAAGTCTCCAATAAAGTTTCCTTAGCTTCAGCAGAGATACGCTTTTCTAACTGTGTGATATATTCAAAGAAAATCAATGGTTTTCGGGGGACGATACAAACAAGACAGGAGTAAGGGAGCGCATCGATGTTGTTTAAGTTGAGGTAAAGTTAAGGCACAGTTGTTCTCATGACAGGACGGATAATGCATGCACTGTAAGTACCTCCCGTTGTTCCATACAAAGCCTTAGAAAAGTTTTCTAAGGCTTTGTATGGGACAACGGGAGGTACTTACAGTCCACGCGTTTTCCGTCCTGTCATGTTCTATGCGATCCGAGGTCTCGCCTTCTTTTTCCGTTAAGATCTTCACGAGTGTAGATGGCAATTCCACCACCAACGCACAGCCTAGTTTTCGTTTTCTCCATCAAAGCTCTAAAGTTTCGCCGGTAGTCCAATGTTGCTTAACTAGTTCATAGACTAACCCGTGTTTCTTTTCAAAATGCTACATTTAAGGTTATAGGTTTCACATTCAAGAATGCAATTAATTAAAATATCTAGAGAATTTCCAGTTACTGCGAACATTTGTAAGTCGCTGAATTGTAGATGAACTACAACTTACGACTGGACTAAAACCGCATAATTCCTAGTTGTATGACATGATCAAAGGTTTTTGCAAGGCTATAACCCAGACGTCTTAGTTCTTTTGGGTCTGAAGTCAAACTCCCGCGAAGACCAATACGAATCCGATTTATTTGGCTCAGTCGGAGCCAACAAAAGACTCCAATTATCGAAGAAATTTCATCCTTTCTCAAAAAATACAAAAGGTAGCAGAATCCTGTCTCTGAAATGCGATACTTACTTATTATGATTCTCTTAATTTGTTTTAACTTGTAGATCCTTCTCCGACTTTTGTTAAAAGATGATTCTTAAGGTAAGAATCTACCTTTGAATACCGTTTAGGGCGAATGTTCAGTATTTTAGAGAGCAAAACTCAGTAGATGTAAAACAGAACAAGTTACGTAACTTGTAAGTTTAGCTGTCTCAAAGCTTATTATCAACCCACATGTAAAGCGGCTTACGACTACGCATGCGTTAATAGGCTCTTGATGCTGTAAATATTGTAAAGTTGTGAAATAAAAGTGAAATTCAGAATTCTACTCTTATGGTGAACCGTCTGCATGCCTTGAGCAAAACACCTCACTCTCACACTGCCTCTCTCCAACCCGGAGTATAATGGGTACCGGCGAATTTTTAAGGAAGTCTGATGAAATGCCGAGGGGTAGCCTTTCGATGGACTTGCATCCTATCCAAGGAGTAGTAATAATACTCCTTGTCGCTTCATGCTCCATGAAAACTGGGATAAGCTCCGGTTGGGTGGACCAATAGGCTCCAGTACATACTTAACCTTTATACCTTTACTTTGTTTTCTAATTTAATTTCTATAAATGTCCATAGGGAACAATTTATAAAGGAAAGACCATTGTCAAAGCTATGGATGGGCTGAGGCAAAATAAAAACCATATGGGGTCGAAGAAGGCGAAATAGACATTCGAATGACTATCTGAGAAAAAGTTCATTTGTTGTCCTTTAATTATAAACTGTTACGGTATAATTTAACCGACAGAAAGACACTACAACCCCACAAACGCAATTACTTTATTAAAAAACGAGTTATATTCTTCATAAGAAGCGACTCTTAAAGGCAGTACAGTACTTACGCTCGATGAACTTACTTAAGCCCACTACAGTATATATCTTAGCTCACCACTGAGCCAAACTCACGGTTTCCTCCAACGTTTCATGAATTAGCAATCTTCCATTGTGGCTCTCTCTGGCGGTAGAGCTTTCTAAACAGTCGGTTACTCTCAACAACAACAACTACTACATAACTAAGTCCTAATTTACATTCACAGAGTGTTCTGGAACATTCTAAAAGCTTACAAAAGAACTATTTTAAAAGTATTGCGTAATAGCTGCGTGACTTGATGAAATGTTTCAGAAAGTTCCATGGTACGCATGTCAGCATATCTAAGTAGTCTGAAGATTTCTAGAAACTTATATTTACAACAACAAGTACGCATAACAAAACACTTTCCGGCTTTAAAAAAAAAAAGCAGCATATGAATCCACCCCACAACCTGTTTGGGTCCATAGGGCACCTCGAGATACCAACTCCATAACCTGTTTAATGCTTTAGCCATAAATCTAATGGCTCTAAAATTAACGACATCTCGTGAAATGATAGAGGATCAACCTAAGAGACTATAATAGCCGAAGAGGTCTTCATCTCTGGAAGACCTAGAAATAGCAAATCATGAATTGCGAATTTTTCGCAAGTGATCAACCCATGCATTCCTAATTAGTTGTCGTGAGCAAACAAAACGCGGAGTACAGGAAACGGAGTAAATTTTCCTTAGTAAGAAAATATAATACAACAAAATTGAAATTTATGACCTGTACAATGATAAGAATCACTTCAAAGGGATTTTCTGCTGACTCAGTAAACCCGTGAGGAGATTCAGAATTTGCGCTTAAATCTCAAGTATTAAGTTTCTAAGTTTTACTTGTGTGAATAAATCAGTAGATATAGATAACTGAATAATGATACCTTCCGAAAACAAAAGTGAATACCCAGACTTAATATACTTCTTAAGTAATTTTTAGATTAATGGTGATTTAAGAAATCTCAAGAAGACCTTCAAATAGCAAATCATGAATTGCGAATTTTGCACAAGTGATCAACCCATGCATTCTTAATTATTTGTCGTGTGCAAACAAAACGCGAAGTTCAGGAAATGGAATTCTGGCTAAATTTTCTTGAGTGAGAAAATATAATACAACAAAATTGAAAATTATGACTTGTATAATGATAACAATAATTTTAAAGGAATTTTCTGTTGACTCAGTAAACCCGTAAGGAGATCCAGAATTTGCGCTTGAACCTCAAGCATTAAGTTTCTGAGTTTTACTTGCGTGAATAAATCAATGTTTGACAATCACATTGCCATGGTTTAGTGTTTTAAATTCGGACCAGGCGACAACAGAACCACTTGGTATCCTGCAGTTTGTGTACTGAGCAGCAATTTCGCTTTTGGACAGAACCCGGTCCCAAATGTTGACCTCAGCCAGTTGGGCATTCAGTGTGTCCCCCAGTGCAAAACCTCCTCCGATTCCGTCTTGATCTTGCCCGAGAACCAGATAGCCTCCAGATTGGACTGTGTATCCCACATCAATATTCCTATGCTGGCTTTCAAATTGACCGTTTTTATACAGTTTGAGTTCACCATTAGTGTTTTCCCAAGTGAAACACAAATGATGCCAGGCATCATCATAGACCCAAGGATTGAAACTAAAGAAAATTAATATTCATGAAATGAGTAATTCATATTTCTTCATTCACTGCTCAGTTTGTTTCTTTCCTAATCATCCATCGCTTCATTCGTTCCAGTATCATCCGTACACCTGTTCACACACCCTCCCTCCCCACCCACAAGAAGTAACTATATTTGAGTAAACTCGGCTGATCCAAATTTAAGGAGAGGAGAAAAAAATTAAAATCTCTCACGAGATGTAAATTATGAATGGTACAACCCCAACCTGCTTTTAAAGATGTCTTTTAGAACTTTATTCTATATTTTATGCGGGTTTTGGCGGAGGGAGGGGAAGAAAACCGGAGGAGCCGGAGAAAAAATCCTCGGGGCAAGGACAAGAACCAACATCAAACTCAACTTACATGTGAAGCCACGTCCGGGAATTGAACCCAGGCCACAGCGGCGGGAGGCGAGTGCTCTCACCACTGTACCATTCCCGCTCCCTGCCGGGGCATTTAGTGTTGGCTAAATGAAATCGTGCGAGCCGTATCTCCTTTTTCGTGACCATTTTCGAGGATGGTCATGGTAACGAGAAATTGTTAAAAAAGGGTTGAATTAACTTTCATCATTGACCCGATTTTCAAAAAATCAAATAGGAATTACCTGTGTTCTTTGTCATTGATGGCGAAAGCTACCTTAGTTGGATAAATTCGGACATAAAAATCATTGTCATCAAGTTTGGCATAGCTGACGATAGCTTGCAGTTCTTGGTCTGCAACGTTTATAAAAAAACACAGCGATAACTGGCTGAGATTTGATCGTATGGCTGGATATTTCATGGCATAGTTTTCAGTGGAACGCGGTGCAGGAAACTCGAGCAAGTATCCTGTAAGAAAGAGTTGAAAGTGTTTAACATAGTTTTCATGTTTAATAAAGCATTCACCTCTAATTTAGTGGAATAACGTTAGTGCTTATCAGGGAAACTGCTTTCCCTTCCATCCTTTCTAAAGAAATATCAAAGAATCTCACGAAAGCCTGAGTTAAAATAATAGCTTCCGCACTAATGTGATTCCTCAGAAATAACAGTTATCAAACCATATTTTGTGAAAATTTTCTTGAATGTTCCCCAGCAATCTCCATTTCGAGAACTACAATAAAAAGGTTAGGTCACTATGCTTGCTAAATAGTTGTGACGGGCAAATCTTACTGACCTAATTGAAGCCTGCACTGATACTAATCACTCGTTATTTCATCGGTTCACGTTACATTTTACGGTAGTTAGAGGCAAGGGGTGAAAAGCACACTTGATAGATAGAAAGTCTCAATGCGTACGTAACAATGAAATATACAATTTAAGGAAAAATCACTCAATTTTAAACGATGGTGTCTCAAAACATTCCTCAAGTCCTCGCTTTCAAGGTCACAATTTGTATCCTCGAGTACCGGGCTTCGCGCATGCTTATAGATATATCTTTTTTCTGCTGATTCTTTTAATTTATTTATTTTATTTTCATTCAAAAGCAATAATTTGGCGGAGGCCAAATTATTGTACTTGTTTACTGTGCAACCGAGCTTGTTCAAGGGCAAAACACCATCGTGCCTGTTCTCCTCGCCCATTGATTGAAATAAAATAATACTATGTTCTCGGAATGCGCCTGTATTCATTTTCCTGATTGCACGATATTATGAGCAGTTCAGGATGCGCAGTGCAATACTGAGGAATCACCTTAATATGATAACTTTATGCGGGATGGTCATAAAGTAAGATGGTATAATTCTCCACCAATAACAGAGCACGAATCTCTTTATCTCGCTTTAGTAATAAAACTATAGAATGATAGAGAAACACACTAAAGCACACTTAGTGCATCTCAGTGTGGCTTTAGCTGTTCCCACTTAGAGCTGTAATTTATTGGAATAAAAACAGTGTAGTTGCTAGAACTTTGTTAGTATGGTTGTGTTAGAGCAGCACTAATCAATGGGAAGGGTTTACTTTTTCCCTTATTAGTTTAGCATTTCTAATGAAGAATATTAGTGATAAGAATGTACATTGACTTACCTATGTCACACATTTGTTTCCCCTCTGGCCCTGATAAACAACTGCAGTTGTGATCGACTGCTATTAAACGGATGAAGACAACGGTTAAGAAAACAATAAAACATTCAAAATAAGTTATAATCTTCAAATACCTTAATCGTATCTTTATGATTTTTATCGAGTCTTTCTACATATAAGCGATTGTCTTGTAGGAAGTTTTTTCAATTGAGTATTGAAAGTGATCCCCGATGGCGTTAATGTTGCTTTACTTCGCTCTGTGATTGGTCTAGAAGCTTGAAGCGCTGGAAAACGCGAAGGCTCGAAATGGAGTTGGTTTAAATTTTGCTTCTGATTGGTTGGGATGGTGATGCAAGTATTGTTGTCTGTTTTTGACGATTTTAACCTTTTCTATGTATAGTAATTGCGATTACTTTGGTTTTGATTTTTTAACAGTCAATTGAAAACTGCTAAATTTGAGTACATCGTGGTCGAGTATGTGGTGTACTTAGCACATACTGGTAGATGAATCCGGAAACTCTGATAATTTCCTTCGCTGCCGTTTTTTATGATGTCACGCAACGATTCCTACCAAAGAAGGCCTCGTGAAGCCTTCGGTGACAAAAGGAATTGTAAAAGCGCCAACGAAAGAATCATATTTGTAGACTTTCTATGATTATGACTGATGATATAAACATTTTAAAAAATAACAAGATAAAGAGTGTTCTGCTATTTTAACCCTTCAATTAGCAATCTGAAGACTAGTCGAGTTACTTGGAGGCGAAGTTTTACCCTGGCTACATCACTTGTCGTGGTGGAGATTAAAAAACAATTTTAATGATAAGCAGAGAGAGTTCAACTTACTGTTTTCACAATGGTTTCCTTTGTACGATCTCGTACAGCGACAAATATAGCCATTCGTTTGATACAGTGGTACACAAGTTCCGTTGTTCTGACATGGCCCACTTGAGCAGGGAGACTAAGAACAAGAAAATCGTTCATTTTTATTAGGGCTACTTAAAACGATAAAACTGCGACGATTATAATTACGTCCAACACAAGCTGTGGTTCATATCAAGGAGTGGAGCTAAAATACGAAGGGATGATAGTGATTTATCAATTAAGACTAACGCCCCAGTCTCAACACGGGGCTTCGTATATCAGTTGGAAGTATCTCGCTTATACGACAAAACCGCGACGATTACGTCCAACACAAGCCTTGGTTCACATCAGTGCGAGGAGCTAACATGCGAAGGGATGATGGTGATTTCTCACGGAAGACTAACACCTCGCCTCTCAATATGAGGCTTCGTATCTCAGTTGGTAGAAGCGCCCAACTAGTTCATGGGAAGCACGAGTTCATTTCCCGAAGTGTCAGCCTTCTTTTCTGTAATTTCTTTAGCTGCAGCTCAACTGAAAAGTCATTAATTTTTTTGTATCTGTTGAATTCTCCTTATCTTATGATGATTCGAACCTTTCTTAAACAAACAACAGCCATCAATGGACGACAGACATTATGCAAATACATATGATACTTTTTCGGTTTACATGCAATGATTTCCATATGATCAGTCCATAACGACGTTCTGATGCTTACCCAGCTTTTCTTTTTTAATTCGGAAAGATATTAATTTATTTTCGATGCTCAAATATATAACACTACAATTACTAGAGATAAGGAACATAGACTTATACAATACGTGCATTATGCAAAATATTAACGAAGATTTTTTTTTTGATAAACAAAACCTTATTGAAAAAAAACAAACCAAATAACATGTAAAAATAAATTTAAAACCGACAATAAAAAAGAACAAATTAACAAAATGTATTTTATAACCATTAGACGTAGTTCACACCAAAAGAAAAAAAGAAGAAAAAGCAGGCATCAAATTAAAAGCTTGTCAGTCGCCACATATATTTAATAAGAACTGCAGCCATTTTCAATACGGCACTGTTCGAATAACTTGCTCACGAATTCATCGAAATTTGGTTTCTTTGTAATGCTCTTGCAGGTGTACAAATATTTCTTTTGCAATAAAAACAGAAGACGTAGTCTGCTTTTAAGACACTTTGACGATTCCAATGGAGAGGAGTCTTCAAACGTGTTGAATACAATTTGTATATTTAAGAATTTTATCTTAGTCTTGTGAAAATCATTAAACCATCCTAAAGTTTACGTAAAGAAATCAGTTAATTCTTGAGAATGTATTAAAGTGTGTTCAGTTGAGTCTGGATTAAAACGTAGAGGGCACTTGTCATCAGAGGCCAATTTATATTTCATCAGTTCTTTCTTGGTAGGAATTATTCTGTGCATAACTTTCGAAGACTTATATAAATAATTTTTACAGCGAAATTTAGTTAAAACTAAATAGTTTGTTATATAGTTTGTTCTATCCTCCAACTGAAAGTATTCTGACGGTGCACAGAGTAGATCAGGGAAAGGAGAATCAAGAGCCTTTCTTTTCAGATCTGAGGGAATGGCAGCAATTAATTGAAAATAATGCGAATAATTGACCTTAATATCGAATTTATTTTGAAATTCTTCAAGCGTCAGAAAATTTCCATCAGAATTTAACAAATCGCTATTAAAAAGAATGCCGCAATTACACCATCGTTTCTGAAAAACACTGTTTTTTTCTCTAATAACTTTCCTATTATTCCAAAGAATTTTTTCATGATTTGCAGTATTATAATTACATTTAAGAAGGAAGGATAAGCCGCCATATTTGTCAAAAGAGTAATTCGGTATGGCCTTCCAGTTGTCGTTGGAACTGCTTAGCAGTCTACCTATCCATGCTTAGCGCAGATATTTCACCATAATTCCAAAGTTTATAAAATTAAGGCCACCGTTTTTAAGTTGCAGGCATACAACGTTTCCCTTGAGGAGGCCTTGAGCTATGTTTTTTACTGTATCAGGAACACTCATCAGTGAAACACTGTAGATTAATTGAGAAGCACCTAACGTTTTGGGAAGAAGGGATCTACCATAGAGTGGAAAGAGCGTAATTAACGAGGATTTTAAGTGACTAACACCTACTAGATAGAGATATTCAATTCAGTTGGTCACCTCAGTTCTTTCTACCCTCTGCCCATTCAAACGGAAATACTTAGCAGAATTCCTTTCACCAGATGATCGTTCTTTCAATCATATTTGCCACATCCTTGGATTTAACGCAAAATCTCCTACGAACAGCAATACGCCTTT